GACACTTGTTGAGTTTGTTCATAAACCAATAGTGGAATAGCCTTTTTGACATATGGGTCACAATGCATATCTTATTCAAGGTTTGTATTGCTGTGATGAAATACTACAACCAAAAGCAATTCATGGAGGAAAGGTTTATTTCCCTTTCTTTTGTATATCACAGTTTTTCATCAAAGACTGTCAGAGCAGGAACTCAAATGGGGCAGTAACCAGAAGCTGATGCAGTCTTTGTGGAGTCCTGCCTACTGGCTTGCTCCTCGTGCCTTGCTCAGCCTGATTTCTTATAGCACAGAGGCCTACCAGCTCAGCTTTCTCATAGCTCAGGAGGCCCACAATGGTTTGGGTATCAGTCACTAGGAAAGAACATGCCCTACAAGCTTGCTTACAGCCTGATCACAGGGCGCCGTTCTCCTCAGGTGAGGTTCCTTTCTATCATATTGCTCTAGCTTGTGTCACAGTGACAGGAAACCAGCCAGCACAGCATACTGGGTTTAGAATATGTGTTTAGAGTACACAGTTAAGTTAAGAAGCATGTTTCTTTTTGCTTAGCTTCAGTGCAGTTAAAGTTTTTCAAAATTGAGGGTTGTCCAAGATGGTATTTTTTCTTTGCCATAGTTTTCACTACAAGGCAGGCAATATATATCTGTTGATATGACTCATTTCTCTGAGATTTTATTATTATTTTTTTAATCCAAAGGTGGCTGAGAAGAGAAAATAAGTAAAACTCATTTTAGGCCTTGGAGGCTGGTTAATGGGAAACTGAAATTAAACAACTTGGACTCACCTACTAAAGAGAGACATGCTCAGTTAATAAGAAGCTGGCAGGTTGTATTTATCACATCCTCACAATGAGCATTAGCCGGAAGCTCGGTCTCATCCTAGATGGAGGCAAAGGCTTTCTCTCCCTTCCCCATCTTATTAAAGGGGAAACTATAACCCTGGTTAGGTGGCCTCTCAGTAATTCATGTTCCATGAGTGTGGGATCCAAGTTTTGCTGTCAAAGTCATTGTCACTCCACAGTCTTCGCTGCTCTTCCAGGGCTTATGATCATCTGAAGATTCCTTTGTGTTGTTTTACTTCTTTTCACCTCCTTTTGTTGCCACACTCACTCATCTGTACCCCAATTATTAATTCCAAAGAAGAAAACTTTTTTTTTTAAAGTCACTTGTTGTACCCCTAGAATAGCATAGACAGCAAACACTTGACAGAAAATTTGCTGGATAAGTAACTATAAGAAAGTAGCTCCTTTAGTTGGTCCTTTTATCTTCATCATTTTTGTGTTCCTGGTTTTATAATATGGATGTATTTAGCATAGAAAATATGGGAGGATATAATGCTTTAATTTTTTTATTGTGTAAAATCATACAAATTAAAAAAAAAGAGAGAGAGAGAGACAAGGTTTCAGTTTGCAGAGCAGGCTAGCCTGGGACTCAGTTGTGCTGCCTTAGTTTATAGACCAGGCTAGCCTGGGATTCATTCATTCTGCTTCAGCCTTCCAGGTGCTCAGATTACAGGTGGCACCACCATGCCAGCTGAGAAACATCTTTGAGAAGTACAAAAGCGATTTGTTACCAGATGGAGAGAGCAAACTACCTCCAAGGCCATCTAGCTAAAGGCTTTGGAAAGCAAAACCTGCAGGTGAGACACTGGTATAGCGCTCTCCATGAAGAAGGCATTCTGCCACATCTGGAATCCCTGCATATGATGTCATGGACCATCCATAGGCTGAGCAAGTATGTGACATTTACCATCCCTTCAGCACAGAGTTGCTTCCAATTCTGTTCATTCTCACAGATGTTACCCCAATAAGTATTTATTTAATCCCAATGCTGGGATTAAAGGCACATGTCACCATGACTGGCTCTTATCACCCATTTTGACACTGTTCTTTGAAGCTGGTCCTTCCAAAAACACCAAACTGTAGCATGAAAAACCACCCCAAAGGGTGACCGCTGTCTTTGGCCATGTCACCGACTGTGTCTCTTGGAATGTGGTCATGTCTAACTGAGACTTAGTTATTTTCATCTTACAGACATGGTAGGTACACATATGTGACCTCAGTCTTGGGGACAGGGCTTTTGGGTAATAATGCACCTCAGAAGGGACATAAACATAAAACATTACATGGTCATCGTTTAACAGCTGTTAGATTTGCATAGGAGGGCAATCCTGGTTTAAAGTAAAGTGACGTGACTGTTCTTCCTCATAGCTGTTGTTGCATGTCTCATTTGTTTGCTAATACACAGAAAGCAAAATGTCCCCAGTTTGAGGCAAAATACAAGATAAAGTCCAGGTGCGCATCTCTACAATGTGAATTAGATGTTATCTTCTGTTGGTGTGTACTGTAAATTCTGTGCAGAGCCGGGAGACTGTTTACATGGAAAAACACAGCTGCACAGTCTTGGAAAGATCCTAAATGTGGAAGAGAGCAAAGTGTCATCCTGTTTTGTGGTTTCTAGTGAAACATTTTGAGAGAAGTTGTACCTTTCTGCTGTTCTCTTCATTAAAGTATAGCGTTATATTTTTGACAACTTCATGGGTTGGCAAGTGTCTATTGTCAGAAGAGTCTATGAAGAGTGAATGGAATGATGAGTTTATAAAAGATGCGTGGGTCAAGCCAGCATTACTACAAATGTTAATGAGTCCCCTACACACAGAAGACTAAGGGTGCCCTTTGAGAAGAATTTTTCTCCAATACATTATGGAGGAGAGTTGTTTTTTTCTACTCTCATTAGTCAGCAATATGACTTAAGACCCAGTAGCAATGCTTTTTCATTTGAGTTTTTTTAAGCAACTGAAATTATTTAAACAAATAGTATGTCTAATATGTGCTCAGACCATTTACAATGGATAAAAACTTACACGAAACACGATAAGTATTAGCAGAGAATGTATGGGCTGGGCTCTGTTCTATCTTCCTATGAATGGTCCATGGCATCATGTACAGGGATTCCAGACGTAGCAGAATGCCTTCTCCATGGAGAGCGCTATACCAGTGTCTCACCTGCAGGTTATGCTTTCCAAAGCCTTTAGCTAGATGGCCTTGGAGGTAGTTTGTTCTCTCCATCTGGTAACAAATTGCTTTTGTACTTCTCAAAGATGTTTCTCAGCTGGCATGGTGGTGCCACTTGTAATCTGAGCACCTGGAAGGCAGAGGCAGGACAACTGAGTCCCAGGCTAGCCCGCTCTACGAACTGAAACCTTGTCTCATGTCCATCTCTTTAAAGCCTCACTGATACCTACATAACTGGTGTCATTATATCTCAGAATTATAGCTGATAAAACAGAGGCTAACAGACTTTCTAGTCCCACCACTAGGAAAGGACCCAGCTGGGAACCCTCAGAACAAGTTATCTCCCAGCCCCCCACCAGCTCTCTAGTCTCCTCCATGTTTATTAAGAAAGAAAGCTTCCATATGCATTGGTAAGACATGCTCTCCAAAGTCTATTGTCCAACCTCGAGGACAGATAGGCTGCCATATTCCTAGGTTTTTCATCCATGGAGTCAGCCAACCACAGTCAAAAGTATTTAGGGAAAATTTCACATCTCCATTGAACACATACAGTCTCTTTTTCTCTTGTCGTTATTTCCTTCGTGAACTAAGTGTCTGTCCTGCCCACTCTGACCATTGCACGCTGAAGCAGTGATTTGGGTTTATTCAGACTTGCCAGTTGAGCTTGCTTTGGTACCACAGCAGAGTGTTGTGTTAGCATTGCTGCAGGCTGTCTCCATCTGTGTGGAATGGTGTCAAACTACTTCAAAGAATCTCTGTCTGTGACCTGTCTGAGCTCTCAAGTGTGGGGCCTTTCGAATTTACCATGATCTTGGGTTGCAGGAAGTAGAGCAGAAGTCAGCAAACCTTTTCTACAAAGGGCCACAGAGGGAAAAATCACACACTTTCTGTGTTCTCCCTCTGGCTGCTGACCACGTGAGGCTATAGGACAAGAGGAGCTGCAGATGGTTCATAAACAACTGGGCGTGGCTGCGGCTGCGTGCCAGCAACAAGTTGCTTACAAAACAGGTGTTGGACATGCTTGGCCCGTGGATTTGTGGCTTGTTGATCCTTGAATTATAAATAACTTCTAGTTTCTCCTTACATAGTGTTCCGAGGTAAATCATCTCGCTGTCTGATTCTTAAATAAGTACTTCTATTCTCTAACCCCTTACTTCTAACCATTCCTTTATGAATGAACATCCCACTTTGCAAATACTGCACTCTTCCTCTTCCATGGTGCTAACCCTGTTTTCATTCTTCAGCATGCTTGCTGTTCATATTGTTCTCCACTCTCAGTTACATTTCCTGCAGACCGCAGCTCAGTTACTCTTGCATTCCCTTACTTATATTTCCATTTTTTACATGTGTTTAAGCTTGCCCTGAAAAATCTTTAGCTCAAGTAATTTTTTGGTACCTAGGGAATCGTGGTCAACCTTGTTTCAGATCTTCAGAATGTGATTGGTTAACCTCTTACAAAACACTCTTCCATTTTTAAATGAAGCTCAACCACATTTAACAAGCCACTCTCCTCAAAGCACAAATAGGGTCTGGAAACAGGATTTGTCTTGGCAAATCATTTCCAAAGATCTGTCTTGGTCTGTGAAGCTAGACCATCCCGGGAGAGGTCCTTGCCTTAGCCAAGAGAACTGGCAACGTGCCTTCCTGCCCTGGGTTGTCATCTATGGCTCTGCTTCTAGAACATTCTCTCCTAGCCTCCAGTCTACCTCATATCTTTGTCTGCTCCCATGAAGCACCTCTAAGTCTCTCCCCTTTCTCCTTTCCTAATGTTTCCAAACTCTGAGACTCCACCTGTTGTCCATAAACTTGATGTTGGCAAAGCTTGTGACTTACAGATGTGAAGGCTGATAGGCGTTTGGGATTTACTGCATGCATTACATCCACTGTTTTTCCTCCTCAGCAGTTCAGCCGTAGCCATGGATACAGGTGATTTGTGTGATCCATCTTGATTGATGTCTCACTTGACACTCTGCCTTTTTTATGACAGGTTGCTGAATGCTATAAAACCAGGACTTGTTAAAAAGATCAATAGATTGCCTACCCCTATTGCAGGATTGGTGAGTATCTACAATTGAGATTTATTTTCCAATATTCTTTTTGCTCTAACCTAAAGGTCATGTCTGTGCCATTTGTCACAGTTCTTTCTGGCAATGTGTATTCTACTTGAGTGATAATGCATTGACCCCAAGAAACTAAGAGGTTCCTTGAACATAAAAAATTCCAGCCATGTCCAAATGGCATCTTAATCATTGTTTGCCTTTTCCCCAAGAGTGAAAAAGCCCTCCAGGTCTTAAAGAGGTAAATTTGTTTTGGGGTAAGAGGCTGATAATTCAGTTGACCCCTGGGAAGGGAATGTGATTTTAATTATGGTTCCCCTCTTCAGTGCTGCGCTGAATTCCCCTTCTGTGGAGGAAGGGAGAGATAGAGAGCTTTTAAGAGAAAACATCACTTTCAAATTCAGTTGCCTGTTTCAGTGTTAGAATTCTATGTTGGCTTAAATATTCCAGCATTGGTTAGTTGTAAAACAGCTCAGGGGGCTCCTGGAGCACCAGTGTTTCCCCGTGAACTGTGTAAGAATGGCCCCAGCCCTTCTGAGCCCACTCATGAAATCTGTAGAGCTAATGTGTTCATGTTAGACCAGGCAGCATTTTTTATTCACATACTGATCTTTTTTTTTTTTTTTTTTTTAATTCTCGGCAATTAATAGTAGCCTTTTAATTGGTGCTGCCTTTTTATAGAAAAAGGAAAAATGTAGAACCGGAAGATGACCACATCTTTATTCTTGAAGGAGACACACACACACACACACACACACACACACACACACACACACACACGGATGTGTGACCTGGTAATGATTTGCTGACTGTGTCCTTGATTATCGCCTTCTCTGCCTGTGTTTTTGCAGGAGAACAATGAGAAAAATGCCAAGAATGTAGGCTGTCTCCTGCACAAGCCTTGCTGATTGTTTTAAAGTTAGTTATATCATGATGACTGGTTAAAATTAGATGTGACAAGAAGCTATTGTGCTTGAAGACTGTGGGGGTCCTGGTGGGAAGGCATGGTATCAACAAGTTGGATAAACTGGATTCTTTCATTGAGGATTGGTATTTCTGTGGAGACATTTTTCCCCCTATATTGGTTGGTAGAGAGTTGGAGATTAGTCATTAAAATTCCACCTGATATTGTTTGTCAAAAATCATGTAGGCAGTTAAGCTAATGAACAGGGAAGGGTAGGTGGATACATAAATTTAGGAAGAGTGGTTTTAAATAATTCTATGATGCAGATGATATGTGGATATTATTGATATATCACATATGTTAGTATGTACATACACCCATTATTTTAGACCTTTTTATTAAAGCCGTCTCTTCCAGATGTTGAAGCTGCAGCTTTGTAATTGATGTGTGTCCGTTTGGCTTTGAGCTTGTGGCAGCCTCTGACCTTGCTGACCTTGAAGCTCTTGGGTTTAGTGGCCCAGGAACAAGATGAAGCAGAGAGTGAAGCAGGCCCCAGGAAATGCTCCCGAGCTGCATAGCGTTCTGCACACAGTAGCTAACGGGAAAGGGGGCTGGAAGCCTTCATTTTGAATATGACTCATGAATAATTTTAGTAAAATTACAGGTTTGAGTACATGCACTGCAGTGTCATGCAGGCACGCCTAGGAGTCTAGAGTAGGACTTTGGGTGTCTGTTTTCATACCTCTCCATGTTATTGCTTTGAAACAGGGTGTCTCGCTGAACCTGGAGCATGCTGCCATTCACAGGCTTGTGCAGACATGCTTGGCTTTTTATGTGGGTGCTATGGATTTGAACTCAATGTTCATGCTCGTAGAGCAAACACTCTGACCTTCTACCCCATCCCTCCAGGCCTATTTTGATATTATTTACCATACAGAAAATACCATATTTTACATGTCAGGCAATTTGATGTTAGCTCTTCTCCTTCAGCTTGTATATTTGATTTCCATATCTCCCCCCCTCCACCCTTTTTATTGTGTTCTGGATTTTTTCGCTTGTTTTCATTCTCTGTCACTTATATCTGTTTTTTTAAATAAATTATTATCTTCTGACCATATTTAATATCTTAGTGTTAAATAGTAAGTAAATAACTCTGGTAATTTAGCATTTAGAAAATGCTTTCCTAAGCACACTTACTGCCCCACTAGTTAATGATTTCCTAGTCTATAAATGTGACCAAATCTTTTTCTTCAATTACCTTCAGATTAGCATTTCCAGATGCTCGAGTAGAATGGAGGTCCTGACAGGAAAAAGAACTATAGCTTCCCATTTACCCAGTACAGAGTTCTCGCCTCACACCCATATAGGCTACCCTCTTTCTGTACTCACAGGCTAGACTGTCTTCCTGACCTCAGATCTCTATAACATTGACCAAACAAGCATTTCTCCCGGAGCACTCTCTTTTTCACTGAACCCTGAAATGTGTGTAGTCTGTTAATATCTTTCCTTAAAGATTATGGATAACATCTTCTGCCATAGGAGAAAAGTGGGTTAATACATGAAAAAGCTAATTATCAACCTTGTTTAAATACAGAATAGAGAGTAGGATGTAGGTAACAGTTTGAAATGGAAGGTCTGTCAACGGTTTAGTGTTTATGATAAGACAGTGTGGCTTTAATTATTAAATTAGCTGTTATCAAACATACTAATGATGGTGTCTTAGTTAGGGTTTCATTGCTATGAAGAGACACCATGACTAAGGCAATGTTTCCTCTTATAAAGGAAAACACTTAGTCAGGGCTGTCATACAATAGGTTTAGTCCATTATCATTATGGTAGGAAGCATGGCAGCATGCAGGCAGATGTGCTGCTAGACAAGGAGGTGAGAGTTCTACATCTTGACCTGTAGACAGCAGAAGAAGACTGGGTACCACCCTGTGTGGAGCTTGAGCACATGAGACCTCAAAGCCTGCCTCCACCGTGCCACACCTCCTCCAACAAGGCCGCATCTACTCCAGCATCTCCTGGTGGTGCCACTCCCTATGGCCAAGCATTCACAAACATGAGTCTATGGGGGCCATCCCTATTCAAACCACCACACATGGCATCGGTTGTCATAGTTTTATGTTGGTAATCACCTCTCAGAAGACACGAGACAAGTGTAAATGTAGGCACATCCTGCAGAGTAGAAGGCGTATGTTCTTCAACATTGTCAGTGTCAGTAAACACACAGATGTTATGGTAGCATTGTAACTGTTTGGGTCGGTTCTCAAATTTTCATATTGGTACAAGGACAGAGATGAAAAGAAACTTCTGTTTTGTAGGAGGAGACTCCAAATAAGCAATATATTTTAGGTTGGTGCCCTTGTGTTATGCATATTTTTCAAATGACATTTCCTTCCTTCTCATATTCATTGTTTTGGGGAGCACACCAGAAATGACCGCTTAGACACAGTTTATAGCCAATTGAAAATCTTTACTCTAGCTGACTGTGATTACACTCAGGCATTTGGGGCCCAAGTGTTTACAGTAGGGGTTTCTAAAAGCAAAAGGCACATCCTGGTATTTTGCTCAGCAGCTGCAAAAAGGAGTTTTGTGCAAGCAAGCAGTTTAACAGAAACTAAGATAAGCAGTCAGCTGGAGAGAGAGGTTGGCACAAGCAGGCAATTTGACAGAAGCTAAGTTGGCTGGGATGTTTTGACCTCAGGGTCCTAGAATAGAGCTAGGTAAGTTTCCATGGAATTCTCCATCGAGACCAAATTTTAGTTAAACTTGAACCAGCTTCAGTGAAAACAGAAGATGGAGGAACTGCTGCAGTGTCTTGCTCTGTCACATTCATGGCACTAAGAACTTTCAGGCAGTGCTTCAAATGTAGCTGAAGACTTCCAGGTTGGTGTGTTGGGTTGCCAGAGAGTTGGCAGACCACCAGCCAACTATTGAGCAAGAAGTCTCAAGTCTTCTGGGAAGTATGGCTGAAGGGTTTTATGTATCAGGGGAAGGACAAGGGAAAGAGGGGGGAGAGTGTTAAGGGAGGGAGAGGAAGGAGTAAGACTGAGAGAAAGACTGTATCTCTTTGTGCATCTGTGTATATTTATATATGTATGTGTGTGCCTATCTGTGTGTGCTTGTATACATCGTGTGTGTGTGTGTGTGTGTGTGTGTGTGTGTGTGTGTGTCCTAGTGGCTTAGTGTTAAGAAATCAACCCAGTAAGATGGCCCAGCTGCTCAAGCTGAAGATAAATAGCAAAGTGTGTTTTCACATACCAATCCAGAATTACAAACACATGCAGATTCACAGAGGCCTGAATAGGTGTATTTTACCTCCTGTGCTGTGGTTACAGAGAATTCAGGGGCGAAGGTGTTAAAACAAAGTAGTTGGAAACTGTTTCTTGGCAAGAGCTCACACAGACCCTGGCTTCAGGTCTGGGTTCCTTCTGTGCTGATGGCTGACATCTGAAGCCGTGTGGAGACTGCCTGCAGATGCTCGCATTCTTCCTTAGGTGTTGGTGAAACTGTTTGCTGCTGCCAGAGAAAAAAGACCTCAAACTCAGGGCTTGGCCTTCCAAGATTTTTTTTTAAGTGTCCCTTCAGTCTGCCAGCTCATCAGTATTGCACAATTGTGTCATGTCCTGAAGTTTGAGTTAGTGGTCATCCAAGAGGATGTTGAAGGTTATTTCACCCCAAATCCTTGCTTACTATGGGAGTTTACAGCTTGACCTTTTGGTCAGTGAGATTTATATTTTGACAGCCATTCACATACACATATGAGAAGCATAACTAGAAATAGATGATACTGGGGGATGCTGTCTCAACTCCTGAGCCTTCTTGGAGCCATGTTAAAGAATTCGTTTGGCTTTCCAAGGCCACAAAGGTGAAACTTATCTGAGGGGGTAAAGCTCACAAATAGAAAGACCTTGTAGTTACATCTGCTTTATAGATGAGGACATGAGGACATATGATGGGGGAGTTATTTGCTCCGGATTAGACAAATGGTAGAAGCTAAGATGGGTGCTGAATCCTAGCCACTGTTTTGTTACCTACCCAGGGTTCCCCAGGTGAAGATGGGTCAGATGAATGGCAGATTACTTCAGTTCTC